CCAGCCATTCCCTCTCTCCATGTCATCATCTCTGCCTCCATTGCTGGTGTCACTGCTTCTCTGGGTAGGGTCCCACATCCCGTTCTTCTCCCTTGATGGTCCCAGGGACCTCCGCTCCTGGACTGCAAAGTCAATCACTCCCCTCATTTTGCTACAAAATGTCTACCTTTATATTTCCAACCCTCATAGTCAGTCCTGATAGCAATTATTCACTATTGTGCCACATGAGTGTCATCCCCATGCCTTTCATCAGCCCCGCCCAGAAAGATTGGATACTACTCAGTGGAGATTTTGCCTTCCTCCACGCCCTCTGGATCTAGAATATGCTGTATTTTTTTAAAGTCTTAAATTTCCTAACGGAAAGATAGTATTTAATCCTAGTGTATTACAAGTCTAAAGACATGGTTCCCTAGCATTTGTTGTTGCTAAGTGCTGTTGAGTCACTTCTGACCCATAGAGACCCTATATAGGGTTTCTGAGGAGTGGCTGATGGGTTTGAACCACTGACCTATGGTTAGCAGTCCACTGCTTATCTGCTAGTGCTATACCAGGACCCCTAAAAGCATTTAGTACCCTGTTATCACAGAATGAGGAGACTACATAATTTGAAGGAAGAGATTCCTTTACTGAAGAGATTCTGACGCTGGGGAAAGAACCTGGGCAATTGTAAGACAGAAAGGTGGTCTCATGATGCAGACCTGGTACCTGGTGCCTTTCAGAGGAAAATAGTCCCAGATTAGGCATGAGACAGGTTGTAACATCAGGTGTCTTTCTAATTTAAAGGTAAAGATATTTAACTACTTTCTATCTATATTAAACGTGTATTTTCTTATGAATACACTGGTGAGAGTTGAATCAGATTGTCACCATACTTTTTATATTTTTTACATGATTTAGGAAAATGGTAATCATTATCCTATGATATCAAAAGATGCATCAGACAGTTGACAGAGGTAAGGACAAAATATTAACAGCAGAAGGCAAAGCTTCCTTTAAATAACAACTTCTTTCAAAGACTAATTATAAAATAATACTCCTAAGAACTACAAGTACAATGTGCCAGGCACAATACTAAGTACCTTACATGTAATCAGTCACAACTCTATGAAGTAGGCAGTATTATTGTCCCCATTTTATAGATGAGGAAACTGAGCAGAGAGATTGAGATAGCAACTTAAATCATTACCAAATTGTCAAAAGGCATTTAATTAAATAATACACTGTAGAATTTCATGAAGTGTGGAACAGAATCTTGATGTAGGTTTTTACTACAATGTAACCTGAGTCTTATCATGGGTTAGGAACTGGTTATATTGTTATTTACATTGATGAAAATGTCTGAAATTATTTTATCAGTCATTCAATAGCAGAGTAACTTCGGGTACACAGAAATAACTTGATCATACTGGAAATATTTAACCATCATCAAGTTCCTTTCCTTGGGAAGTTAAGACATCCATGGGATAATCCAACAGCTAATCACATATGGTCATGGAAAGAAAGACTTTGTTATTATTAGTGATACCTATCTTTTCATTAAGAATCCTGCTCATAAACTCAGAATTCTGTCCAATTTAATCTATATGTAAACATCATCCTAACTTGGTGATCTTGCATTATAAGATCAAAGTTACAAAACTTAAAAAGTAAGATATGTCACGTAATTATAATTTTGGAAAAGTATTCTAAATTTGTACAAAGCTTAAAAGTTGAAGTAGGAAGCAAGAGCTAACTTTCACTTAGAATAATTTGTCTTTCTAAATTCACTGCACTGGAACGCCTACTTCATCAATCAATTGCCTCTCAAATACTTACCAATGATACTGAAAATAACAAAAAGTCTAAAGAGAAAAAGAAAAGACAAAGGACTGTAAGACAACTGGTTTTGATTCTTGTTGATGATACCTAAGATTACCTTGATTTCCTGTGGAAGATGAAGCCATCGAACTCCAGGAAAACTGTCTAAAAGTATTGCACTGGAAGCATCATACTGCTGGGCACTGTGGCTGGCATTTGAATGCAGTTTAGTGGGCTGAAGCGCTCTTTGAAAGAACAAGTTGAAAAAATGATCCAAACGAGGAACATTTTCAACCTGGCAGAATGCACTAAAGAAACAAGAACCATTAGTTAGAACATCATAAAAAACCAGTGGTTGTTATTATATGCTTCTAAAGACTCCTAGTGTGGCACTGTAGCATAAGCAATGGACTATTGACCAAAAGGTGGGTAGTTCAAATTCACCAATTGCTCCTTGGAAATCCTCTACAGGGTTGCTAAGAGCCAGAATCAACTTGACTGCACTTAACAACAACAAAGGGAATGGAGTACAGCCAGAATGCTTCTTACAAGTGAGGATAGTCAGACGTCCAAGTCTCTTATACTTTGGACATACTGTTAGGAGGGCCCACTCTCTGGAGAAGGACATCATGCTTGGAAAAGTGTAGGGCCAACAAAAAAGAGGAAGACCCCCAATAAGATGGAATGGCACAGTAGTAGCAATAATGGGCTCAATTGTAACAATTATTTTGGTGATGGCACAAGACCGGGCAGTATTTCATTCTGTTATACATGTTGTTAAGTGCTGTTAAGTCAGTTCTGACCCATAGCGACCCTGTATAGGGTTTCCAAGGAGCAGCTGGTGAGCTTAAACCACCAACCTAGTGGTTCAAAACAACTTTGCAGTCTAGCGCATTAGCCCACAGAGCCAACAGTTACTGTAAATTGGAACTGACTGGATAGCACCTAACAGCATCATCAAGGGTAGTGAATCTTTTCCATACAAAGGCTCTCCTCCTTACCTTCCTTGAATCATTGCTCTTATCTTACTGATGAAGTGTGTCTTGATCATCATTACCATCATAATGTTGTTGTTGTTAGGCACTGTTGAGTCAGAACCAACTCATCGAGACCTTATGCACAACAAAACGAAACACTAACTGATCCTGCGCCAACTTTACAGTCATGAGTGTGTACTATTACTGAGTGTGTACTGTTGAATGTGTACTATGTGACATACAGTGCATGTATTTACATGTATTTAGTAGCCTAATCCTTATAATTCCACCAGGAAGAAACCTTGATGATTCTTATTTCACATATAATGATATAATAGTTCAGACGAGCAAACAATGTACTCCAAATCATACTGCTAATAGTGAATTTGGATTTGAAGCCAGGCCTTACCACATTTCTCCCATAGTACTGACAGAGATGTTGCTAAAATCAAACAATACCATGTCTATAGCTTAACCCTAGGAAATGAGCACATGAGGCTAATTTTGAAGGACCTGTCTCAGGTGAATCCATGCTAGCACTTGGGCAGGGTGGATACAGACAAAATTGTGAAGCAGGTATAATTTGGCTTTGGTTATCCAAGGCGCTGTTGTTTTCATTGTAAGTGACCTCAAGTTGGTTCAAATTAATAGAGAACCTAAATAGGGATTCCAGGAGCTCTGGTAGCGTAGTGGTTATGAATCGGGCTGTGAACCGCAAGGTCAGCAGTTCGAAACTACCAGCTATTCCGTGGGGAAAGAAGAGGCGTTCTGCTCCCGTAAAGATTTACAGCCTCGGAAACCCTGCACAGGGTCGCTATGAGTCGGAACCGACTCCACAGCACATAACCACCACCCACCACCACAGGAGCAGCTGGTAGGTTTGAACCACCAACCTTTGGTTAGCGGTCTGGTGCTACTACTACAGTGCCACACTAAGGACTGCACCCACAGCACTAGTCCTCATTTTATGCCATGCAATCTTCATGAAATTACCTTTTCATTAAGAGTTAGAAGTGACTTTTATTATTCCAGATTCCATATTTGAGATTTTGTCTACTTGCTAAAATTTATTTGTAACCCTAAATTCAGTATGTGTGGCAAATTTGTTGTTCACCATGGATATGTAATGCTGTTATTGTTGTTAAGTACTGTGGTGTCAGTTCCAACTCATAGCAACCCTGTATAATTTTTCTGAGGAGCGGCTAGTGAGCTTGAACTGCCAACCTTGCAGTTTGAACCGACCTTGCAGTACATTAACCCACAGCACTACATCAGGACTCCATGGATATACATATTGAGTGGCAAAAAAAATTGAGTCTCCTGATGCACATGAACCTGGCTGAGGTCAAACAAGGAAAGCAAGCTGTTTTCTTGTTTCAGTTCTCATACTGTAAACAAGTGTCCTTTTCTTGTGGTCTATATAGTGCCACATGTTTTGCACTTCTATGTTTATTGTTGGTGACTGTCCATATTAAAATGGTCTTCAACTGTAATATTGAAGTGCTATCCAGTGGTCTTAAGTGCAAAAAAGCTGTGATATGCTTTACAGAGGACACATGAGGGTTAGGTAAGTCACACTGAGGCATAAGTTACAGTACTTTGGCTTTCAGTTTATTGTTAACCAACAATACATATTAAATAAGGTGTCTTGATTTTCTTATGAAAATGGAAGTGTGGAGTGAAAGTCAAGCATCTGAACATTGAAGGACGTGGCCACAGAACTGTCTCAGGAGGAATGGGAATGCCTGGACCCTCCTGAAAAGGCTTTGTATAAGGATATGATGTTGGAGAACTACAGGAACCTAGTTTAGCTGGGATAAGCACTGGACTGCGAGCCACAAGGTCGTTGATTTGAGCCTACCAGCTAGTCCACATCAGAAAGATGAGGTGCTCTGCTCCCGGGAGGATTTACAGCTTCAGAAACCCTATATGGGGTCACTAAAAGTCAGAAATGACTTGATGGCACTTTACAACAGAATAAATGGAAATACAGAAAAATAACTACATAAATAAGGTATCTTTACACAGAAACACATATGAAACTAGTCATACTACCTTTCTATACTATATGGCTTTTATTTATATATATATTTATAATAATAGTACATGGAGTCCTGGTGTGGTGCTGTGGGCTAATGCATCAGACTGCAAAGTCGTTTGAACTGCAAGATTGGTGGTTCAAGTTCATGCTGCTTCTTGGAAACCCTATACAGGGTCACTATGGGTTGGAATCGACTCTATGGCACTTAATAATAACAATAATAGTACATACATTTTTTAAAAACCAAATTCTTTTTAAAGAAAGTAGACAAAAACTCAACATTTAAAATCTCAGAGTTTTCCACACATGTATGAAGAAATACTCTCACATTTTTCCCCAACAGAAATAGGTCAAATCAGAATACAGTTGTGGCTATATTTCTATGTCACTAAAGTAAAACATGAGACCCTTCTCTTAAATAAAAGTTATTAAATTAAAAATTTCTCAGAATTGTAAAATCAAGGCAATAAAGAAAAATAAGAAAGTAAGAAAAACAAACAACTGTTTTGCCAAGCAAGGAGCAGGATGAAGTGGAAAAGCTGATTTAGAACCATATACTTAAAACTCGTGATTCAATTCCATGAAGTACTTACCTATCTAAAGAACCATACATAAACTTTAAAGTCTGGGCAACATCTTCTATCATATTCCTTAGCTGAGGAAGAGGAACTCTAAAAAAAGGCAAAAACACATCTATTTTATAGCAAAATCTAATGATATATGCATATCTAAAAAAGAACATTTTTATATTTTATATATAAAAAAATGTAAAAAGTGTATCTGTCAATTGTGTGTGTAGCTGTAAAAAAGCCTTTTTAGTACATTACAAATTGATCGCCTTGAGGTGTACATTTGAGTTCTGATATGAGTCATATAGGGGCTTTTGATACAATCACATATAGTACGCAAGTTAACCCCCTTTAGGCTTTGGCTTCTTCTGTAAATAGGGCCAAAAGTCACTAAGTACTTTTTAGGTTGACTCTGAGGATTTAATGAAAGTAATGTACATAAAATATTTAGAGCATTACTTGGGCTCACAGAAGGAAATGATAAATTCCTCATATTTTCTAATACCATGAAGATCTCATATGAACTTTCAATTACATTTCACTTTTTGACAGAAATGAAATGGAGAAAGAAAAGGAAGCAGGCCACTGACTTACATTTTCTCACTGAAGCCTTCTGACAATTCTGCAATATAGATCTTATTACCTCCATCTGTGCATAAAAATTAGCATAACCCCAATTCCCAAAATGTGAAGATTAATCAAATCCCTACTTTCTCACTTCACAATCTTCTCTAATACCACTTTCCTAGGCAGCACTCCCTTTCTCTGGCTTGACCACCTGAGTCAGGGCAGACCTTGTCCAGTAGTTCAGATTGTCAAATAAGAGTTCACACAACACCCTTACCTTGTACCTCCTGGGTGCAAAAAAAATTTTTTTGCCCACTACTCCTTCAGAATGACAGCCATTAGTTCAGGGGCCTTCCTTGGGGTCCCTTTACTTTTACCTGCTGGCTCCCACTACTGCCTTGGATTAAATAATGTACTGAAATGACTCACAGAACTCATAGAAACTATACCTACCTGCTTCTTTCCAAAGACCAGGTTGTTAGGAGAAAATTGGTAGTATACAAAAATGAAGTTTTTTGTTTTTCTGTTTTTAGACCATCCATTTGTCTGCACTTTTTAAAAATAGCAAATACGATTAAAGAAATAACAGCTAAGTGTGGTCCTATAGGCTAAGCACTGGACTGCTGTGCTAACTGCTAACTCAAACCCATGAGCCCCTCTTGGAAACGCTATAGAGGGTCATGGATGTGCTGCTCATCACTGTGATAAGGTCAGTTATGGATTACTCCTCTGTGTAGGAAGAGGTTTGGAAAAGAAAAAGACGGATAAAGCTAAGTGGTGTGACTGTAGGACCCTAGTGTAACCACTTTACCTTCCTCCTACGCTGGACCAGAGGTTCCCTCGTGGAGCTGCTTCCAGGGCTCTCCATGCCCAGCCCTGCAAACCCTGCTCTGCCCATTGGGCCTTGGATGACATTGAGTCTTGGGGCTTCCAGGAAGGGCGTTGGTAGTCTCGCCTCACACTCAAAGCCACCAAGGTGGAGAAAGCTTTAAGAAATCAGCAAACTCTTGAGCATTTCTTCTAAACACTTTCCAATGTCTCTTTCTTTCCTCCCTTTTCACTCCATAGCAATTTTGAGCTTCACGGCCTCCGGCTGATTATCATTGTTGTTGTTAGCTGCTGAATCGGCTCTGACTCATAGTGACCATTCATAGGGTTTCTGAGGAGTGGCTGATGGGTTTGAACTGCCCACCTTGCAGTTAGTAAGTACAGTGCTTGTCCTACAGCACCACAGCAGGTGGCACTGGAGCTGGGACGCGCCTTCCAATATGCCTGAAGGCAGGAACCATGGAGCACGGTGTAGTGGGAGCCAATCAACCACTGGACATGGTACCCTCACAAACAGGAGGGTGAGGGGCAGCACAGCCCAGCTTCCTAGAGGCCTCCTGGAGACCCACCTCAAAAGATGGATACTTTGCAGCCATTATCATGTCTGATGTCTTGTTAATATACAAAAAAGTCATTTACAATTTTTATTTGTAAATGAGAATTGTCAGATAGCACGACAGTGGATAAGTGTGGAATGGTGGTGGTGGTATGCCGTGGAGTCATTTCTGACTCATAGTGACCATGCATAGTTTCCTAAGTTGTAGTAAATCTTTATAGGAGCAAAAGCCTTATTTTTCTCCTGTGGAACTGCTGGTAGTTTAGAACTGCTGATGTTGAGGTTAGCAGCCCAACTCGTAACCACTATGCTACCAGAGCTCCTTTTAAAGCCTACAGCGCCCAGTATTCCCAGGTGTTCTCCCATCCAAGTACTGATCAGGCCCTACCCTGCTTACCTTCCAAGGTCAGATGAGATCGGGTGCATTCAGCGTAGAATAGGTGTATTATGTTTACAATGTTGTTGTTGTTGCTATTAGGTGCCATCGAATTGGTACCGACTAATAGTGACCCTATGCACAACAGAATGAAACACTGCACAGTCCTGGGCCAACCTCACAATTGTTACTATGTCTGATCCTATCCTGCCACCACTGTGTCAATCCATCTCACTGGGAGTCTTCCTTTGTCTCTGACCCTCCACTTTAACAAATATAATGTCCTTTTCCAGTTACTGGTTCCTCCTGATAATATGTCCAAAGTATGAGACACAAAGTTTGGTCATCCTGGCTTCTAAGGAGCACTCTGGCTGTACTTTGTCCAACACAGATCTGTTTGTTCTTTTGGCAGTCCATGGTACTTTTCATATTCTCCTCCAAACCTACAACTTAAATACATCAATTCTTCAACGATCTTCCTTATTCACTGTTCAGTTTTTGCATGCATATAAAGTTATTGAAAATAACATGGCTTGGATCAGGCATATGTTAGTCCTCAAACTGACATCTTTGCTCCTCAACACTTTAAAAAGGTCTTGTGCAGCAGATGTGCCTAATGAAATACATCGTTTCATTTCTTGGCTGCTGCTTCCATGAGTGTTGATGGTTGATCCAAGATGATTGAAGCCTTTGGCAGCTTCAATCTTTCCTCCTTTTATATGGATGTTGTTTATTGGTCCAGTGGTGAGGATTTTTGTTTTCTTTATATTGAGGTGCAAACCACACTGAAGGCTGTGGTCTTTGATCTTTATCAGTAAGTATTTTAAGTCCTGTTCACTATCAGCAAGCAAGGTTGTATCATCTGCGTATTGTAGGTTGTTGATGAGTCCTCCTCCAATCCTGATGCCATGTTTTTCTTCATATTTCTCAGCTTTTCAGATTATTTGCTCAGCATATAAACTGAATAAGTATGGTGAAGGAATATAACCCTGGTATACAGCTTTCCTAATTTTAAACCATTCGGTGTTTCCTTGCTCTGTTCGAATAACTTTCTCTTGGGCTATGTACAGGTTCCTTATGAGCACAATTAAATGTTCCAGAATATTTACACTTTGCAATGTTGCCCATAGCTTGTTAAGATCTACACAATCTAAAGTTTTTGGGTATGCAATAAAGCACAGGTAAACATCTTTCTGGTATTCTCTGCTTTCAGTCAAGATCCATTTGATGTCAGCAATGAAATCCCTTGTTTCATGTCCTTTTCTGAATTTGACTTAAACCTCTGTTAATGTAAGGTTGCAGCCGTTTTTGTATTATCTTTAGTAAACTTTAATCACATGGGATGTCAATGATATTGTCTGATGAATTCCGCAGTCTGTTGGGTCACCTCTCTTTAGAATGGGTACAAATACAGATCTCTTCCAGTCAGTTGACCAAGTAGTTGTCTTCCAAATGTCTTGGCAGAGATGAGTGACTGCCTCCAGTGCTGCACCAGTTTGTTGAAAGATTTCAATTTATATTCCATCAATTCCTGGTACCTTGTTCTTTGCCAATGCCTTCAATGCACCTTGTATTTCTTCCATAAGGATCACTGGTTCTTGATCATATGCTCCCTTTTTTTAAATAAAACAAAATTGAACTTTTATTAAAGGGTTTGAAATTACATTGTATTTCAAATTTCTAGAATGGAATTGAACCTTTTATGAGCTGGAAAAACAGCACAGATGAAAAATATTTTCTCTTGAAAATCCAACAATTCCTGTGCAAACCACCTCCCCCCTATAAAAGACGGTGAAATATTATCTAACTCTTCACTTTGGCAATAGCTATTTCCTAAAGGAATGAAAATAAAAGTAGTGGTTTTACTATTTTTGTTAACTAAAAATGGGATTCTATCTTAAGATAAAAAATGTTTTATGTTCAGAAGAAGCTATTTTGAAGACGAGCTGTGAGTACAAAAACCAATACAGAACATCTTATCTAAGCAACCAAAATCATTCTGAAAATAAAGAGAGTAATAAATGTTTTCATGGCATTTTTTTCCTACAAACTATTCTAACTGGTTAAGGATTTTCAGTAGTTAATTAAAATTTTATAGTAAAATTCTATACAAAGCAAATCTTATAGTAACCCTGTAGGGCTGAGCAGAACTGCCCCATGGGGTTTCTAAGGCAGTATTATCTTTACAAAAACAATCTCTCCTCCTTCCTTCTCTGGAAGAGTGGCTAGTAAATGAATACTATGTAATTTGGAAAAAAATGTGTTCACATTCCCAGATCTGAACCTTAATTTTCAAAAGGGAATTATCAACTTTAATAATAAACCCATTACAATTTTATTAAGAAAAGAAACTCTTGGTCTTCCTCTGAGTTACTATTTGATAAGTTCACCTTCAGATGTAAAGCTTAAATTCATTACAAAAAAGTAACAGTAATTAGCCTGAGGTATTTTAAGTTTGGCTCTTTGCTTAAAGTTATGGCAAAATTTTTTCCTTTCTTAATTTCCATGTTATTCCCATGATCTCTGTAGTATTTACCACAACATAATCATCTAAAATACCTAAAATATTTCTTGGATCTATTGGAATTGTTATTTATTCATCCACTTTTAGGTGCCACACAAAAATCTGCAGGTTTTGCCTGTCTAGATCCAGAGGTAACTAACCTTTGTTTTCCAGTGTAAGAATTACTAAACCTTAGAATAAAAAAAAGATGCTGAATTACTAAACCTTAAAAAAGAAAAAAGAAAAAAAAAAGATGCTGACCATCATACTTG